CTCAACAATGTTCTATGCTTCCGCACACACGTTCTTACCGGCTGGCGACCGTCTCGCAACAGATTCATTGCTCCAAACCGTCCTGCTTATAATATCTCGGCAATGGTTAGGCCTGAAGGTTTACTGAATGGAAAACCAACACAATTGAAAGTGAAATTTATAGCTCGCCATCTCAGGTTGTGTCCTTGTAACAGACCGTGAAAACCCATAGGTTTCTGAGACGTCGGCGCTCCCACATTTTATATACAGTCAGCTCACATAGATGGCGGTGAGGTTGTCAGCCTTACACGCCGACCAGAAGCTTCCTAGTACTCATTTCTGTTAGAGGCTGAGTCGACCTCAGGGACATAGTGCGGCTGGAAGGATTAGGTCGGTCAGTCTGTCTTGGAATAGCGCACCCATCTGGGGCTTATGACCCGATTTCTATTGCTGTCAGACAGTTGCGGGTTTGTTGATGTGGGGCGCTCTCTCTGACGAGAGGATGGGTATGTCTTTTACAATTGCTGCTGGCCCTCGCCAGCGCATTCATTCTCAGGCCCGAGCCCCGCAGGACTCATGACCGCATTTTACTGTTTCAGATTCGAGACCCCCCAGGAACAGGGTGAACCAGTTATGCCCCCAGGCACTAGGTTCCCTTTAAGTCGACTCCTATGAATCGCAGGGCTACGGTGGAAGCACTCGACCCCGCCTCCACATGGGATTAGTAATCATTTACGGGCCCTGCATGTCACGTTATTATTTGTGTATCGCTTTTCGTGTTTGATCACAATGAGCATAGCAGACTTTTGAAGAAGTAATTATATATGTACTCCACTGAAGTAAACCGCTTTACCAAATGTGCATGTTTGTTTCCCTCATATCACTGTCCTTGATGTTAATTTACTGAAGATAATCCTACCACGGTTTTTCTTGTAAATCATTTTGCCATTGTCGCATTAGTTATTCAGAAATATTTCTTTAGATGTGTCTCACATGCAGAGGTGTTTTAAATACTGAGGCGTGCTTCGTCAGAGGGAGGTAACTGGACAATATGCAATGAAAATTGTGATGAAGCAAACACATGCCTGAAACTACGACAGAAAGAGAGGTAAAAATTGTATGAATTTTGCGTTTTTAGAATATCGGTAGCTGGACAAAGTCCAAAAAGCCAGTAATTAAGAATCCTCTAGAATCTAAATATCGTCTAACATAATGCTGCCAACGTTAATTTTAAAAATTTACTTATATTTAAATGAAAAACCTGCAAACCGTATTTTCTCTGTCGCATAACCACAAAATCTCCACTTCCCACCACTTTACCTTATATAACATCTGCCAAATCTGTCACTACCAGAAGGACGAGTGAGCACTGCCTAGGAACCTCCAGATCCACAGCCTTTCTGTCATTTCCCCCTTAAAATTTAATGTCTCTCATTGCTTCCCCTCCACTTCCTCTTCTCTTTCTATCTGTCTCTCTCTCACACACACACACGCGCTTGTGTATATGTTTGAAGTGCGTTTCGGTTTCAATTTAATTACAAAACTCATTCTGATTTTATTCAGTTCAGATGAAAGAAAACAAACGGATACATTTTGTGATATTGGGAGAAGAAAAACGCTTATTTTTCTGTCTCCGTCCGTTTTGCGCTTTATCTTCTCTGTTTCTTTTTGCTTTAGAACGAATTTACGCTCAGTGCTTCAAAGTAATTACCTGCTTTTCCAATCAAGTGAAAAAGCCATACTAGAGGAAACTAGGGCTTAGTTCCAGGGATTCGCTGTGTAAATTGATATTTTGAAAGGCAGTTTATTGCCTCGGCCGATCACCGTGGCCGGCCGCACGGTCTAAGTCATGAACGATCTTCCCCCGCTCAAACACTGGGATCGTGGGTTCCAATCCCACTTGAGGTATGGATGTCTGTGCTGTCCTGTGCGTGCAGGTACCTGCCTTGCGGCCTGGCTGATCCCCCGTCCAAGGAGTCCTACCGTGTAAAAAGATCAAAAAACTGAAAAAGTGGCCAAGGCCCAACAAAGGGCTGTAGATGGATGGAATTAAGAATAAGTCTGTCGGACGGTTTTATCCAGTAAGAGACACGCGACAGATAGACACGATTTACGTAAAAGGCGCTCTGTGTTGCTTCGTAACCAAGGCGTGAAAATAGTGTCAGTATGTATTTACTGTAAACCCTTTCAAATTCGTTTTTTTTTACCGAGCCCTTAACATCACCCTCCTGACTACCAACCTCAAGCCTTGTGCCCTCAGGTGCGAGCCTTCCACAGTCTAATGGGCATTCCTCATTGTTTGTCTGTTCACACAGTGAGGTTTCTATCTGTCGCGTACTCAAGGCCCCTACAGTTGCTCCAATTTATCCACTTCTTATTATTAAAAATTAAAACTGTTCCCGTAACAGGCCGTGGAGGCCCATAGGAGGCTCCCACATCTTCTAGGCAATCGGCTCATAGATGGCGGTGAGGTCAGCTATACGCACCGATCACCCTTTACTCCCCAGGAAGATTCCGGGTACTCATTTCTGTTAGAGGCTGAGTCGACCCCAGGGCCATAGTGCGGCTGGAAGGGTTGGCTCAATTAAAAAATCCAGTCACTTCATTTGGAATCGAACCCTCAAACTTCCGGCTTCTAGCATGGTCCGTAGCCCAACTTCGCTACCACGTGCACCCCCTTGAAATTATGAAACTAACAGGCATTCGGTAGGACACCTTGGACGGGGGATCAGCCCGACGCAAGGCTGCTGTCTACACGGAACTTAAACATAGAATAAAGGCAGACAGACATCCATGTCTGGTGAAGAAATTTCGTGCTTTAGACAGCGCAGCCGATCTGATCAGCTCCAAATATTTTGAAAATTATCAAACCAAGGAAGATGAGATCGTCAATGCACGCAGCAGGCACAGGGAGAGGATAAGCGCGTACATACTGTTAGAAGTTGTGGAGGAAAGGGACATCTAGGAAGAACTAGACGTAGGTGATGATAATATTAAGATGGATCTTAGAGAGATACGAGGGAGGGTAAGTGAAGTAAAACAGCTGTAATGGACGTAATAGGTTCTTTGTGTGTTTCACTAGGTAGCAGCACAGTCCAGCTGCATCAGAGTCTAGGTAGCAGACGCGCATGCGTATGTTCAGAGGCTTGTTTCAGTAGTCAACATGGCAACCGCCGAGAAATGATTCATTTTCACGTCCGAATCTCATTTTTTTTTTTTTTTTACGTTTTAAAACCGTCTGTGGCCTATTTACTGACTCTCCGTCTTAGTATGACATGGTATTAGATTAATGTGGCTTAGGATAGGGACCAGTGAACATGGTAATGAAACTTTGGGTTCCGTAATATCCTGATAATCTTTTTTAGTATATGAGCAGCGCTCAGTCTCTCAAGAGAGAGTTAATCCCATGGGATTCATTAACTTATGGACGTGTAATAAACTCTCCGTAATCCTTTCAAATTTTTTTACGTACCGTGGAAATGGAATGAAATTAGCGGCACCGAGCAAGTTTCGGTCTTTTATTCCATAGCTTTCCGGTTTGAATCTCGGCCGGTGCACCGAATATACTGAGTTATTTCGTTGTTTTTCCTCAGTTCAACTCCCCTGCATGCGTAATACCTTAAGCTAAGCCAGTGACGCTTCCTTTCCAGTTCACTGTTCACTCTTGTCATCCGACGTTATTTGGTGGCAATTACGGAGCAGCGTCGTTAAATAAACTACAGAGACAGCCGATCAGAACGAACTTGCCATGACCTCCCAGTGTCCACGTCCACAAAGAGACATGTAAGAACATCTCCCCGTGGAGCTTGGTGTTGTAAGGAGGCCAAGACCCCAAGGCAGAAAGTAAATGGTTCTGCCCCTAAGGGGCGGTCAGGGAATTGCCCCCACCTCCAGCGTCAGACAGCGCGACGGTGACGTCAGATTTACAGAAGCTTGAGGGAAGTCGTGAACTGGAGGCTGATTTCAAGACTCGAAACCACATAGCGTCCCGTTACGCATTGTGGCATGACGGATGAAAAGCGGATTAGTTATACGGATATATGTGACCATTAATAGGCAACGACGGGGTAAACAATATCGAAGAAACACGCGGATACACCAAGGACGTTTCTGGGCAACAACTCTGTAAACACGTTCCCATTGTTAGGCAACAAATTCTTAATACTGCAACAGCTGGACTATAACAATGGAAGAACTGTGTTTTATACGTGGTCCGTGCCAATAGGTCATAACACGAGGTTGGGAACACACCAAGACTGACTGACTGACTGGCCGTCAGTCGCAATGTGACTTTGACTTTTTTAACTATTTGAGGGGAGAGAGTAAAATGTGTTCTTGACTTCCACGGGACTCGGAACTAAGATAGAATTCGCTGGCGAGGACCAGCAGCAGTTGTAAACGACAGACCCGTCCTCTCATCAGAGAGGATGTTACATAAGGACTATAACCGCAAGTGTTTATTTGGAAAATAAAATAACTGATCGTCATTCTCAAGGGGCTTGTCGCCAAGACGAACTGACCGGTGGTAACCCGCCAGTCGTGAAGTGACTCTGACTCTGAAGTCTAATCAATTTAGAGTCAGTTCTCTATGGGGAGTCAGAGGCAGAGGAATAACCATTGTTAGGTCAGTTACCTGGAAACGTCTAGTACCACACTGAGAACACTAGACTGTGGCTCTAGTGAACTGCAAAGTGTGGAATAGCGATAGTGCTATTATAGTTATTTGTAGTTAAGTGGTCAATACATCTGTTCGCCATTCCAAACCCCGTCTATAGTCACACACACTACACGTGACAGTATGTGTGTGTGTGTGTGTGTGTAACAATTCCCTCGAAAATATTTATACAAATTGGGTCTTTCTAACGGATCCAACTGAGAACGTGCCTTCCCAAATTTTCACCTGAGGATGGAAACAGATCTAATGATTATAATTGTTTGTTTCTCCTTGTTCCGTGTGGTTTGTAATGTTCTAATATAATCTGTTTTCAGAGTGAATGTAGTCATGTTGCTTTCTGTGGCAGTTTCCCCGGAGTCTGTCGTGATTCCCATAGTGTCCTGCATCCTGGGCTTCCCCCTGCTGGCCCTGCTGGTGATTTGCTGCCTCAGGCGACGTGCGAAGTTGGCGCGGGAACGTGCGAGGAGACGAACAGGGTACGTAATTCTCCGCCGCCGGAGTATCTGCGGCATTTCACAAGTGCACCACGCAAGGAACTGTTCGCTGTTTAGACTGTGTCGGGTTGCAGATTCAAATCTCTGCACGGAGCTTCATAATTTTGTATGCTCTAAATATTACTAAAAATTGTCGAATCAATGAACATTATATGGGCAGGACATGTAGCATGAATGGGTAAGAATTTCATACGAAATTTCTTTAGGAAAAACTGAAGAAATTAAGAATAGATTACTAGAACTTTGCTTAGTTGGGAGGATAATATTGTCGCGTGTTGCCTATGTGACGCAACAAATAAATTCACGCAGGCCTAGGATTTGGCGAATGTTTATTGGCCAATCTCTGCACTTGCCAGTGCAGTTATCATCCTCAGTTTCAGGATCACAATTTCTGCTTCTGCTATAGTCGAGGCCAAACTGAAGATTGACTACTCTTCCAAGGTCAAACACAAACTTCAGCTGCTCTCGGCAACTTCTAGAACTCAACTGTCAACTCAATTCCACTGTCTGCTCTGAGTCTCATGTTACGACCGACGGTCGGTCGGCCAGTCTCTCTCGGTATAAAGCACCCATCTGGGGCTTACACCCAGATTTTTATTACTGTTTGACAGTTACGGTCTTGTTTTTGTGGGGCGTCCTCTCTGACGAGAGGACGGGTCTGCCCTTTGTATATGCTGTTGGCCTTTGCCAGCGCAGTCTTTCTCGGGTCCGAGTCCCTTGGGACTTGTGACCATATTTTACTGTCTCAGATTTGAGACTTCCCTTTTCGTCGCCTCCTACGACTCGCAGGGTCACGGTGGAGGTATTCGAACCCGCCTCCACACGGGCACTGGTCTGATCTAGTCAAGTCAAAGTCAAAGTCACATTGCGACTGACGGTCATTCAGTCAGTAAGTCTTGGTGTCGAGCCCCACCTAGGTCTCATGACCAGATATTTATTACTGTTTGACAGTTGCGGCCTTGTTTTTGTGGGGCGCTCTCTCTGACGAGAGGACAGGTCTCTCTTTTGTATATGCTGCTGGCCTTTGCCAGCGCAGTCTTTCTCGGGTCCGAGTCCCTTGGGACTTGTGACCATATTTTACTGTCTCAGATTTGAAACTCCTCTTTTCGTCTAGTCCAAGTCCAAGTCACATTGCGACTGACGGTCAGTCAGTCAGTCTGTCTGTCTTTCTTGGTGTCGAGCCCCGGTTGGGGCCCTTGACCAGATTCTTTTTTCCTTATATGAAAGTTACTGTCCTGTCCATTTGGGGGGTCCTCTCTGACGAGAGGTCAAGTCTGTCATTTGTTAGTCAGATCCAGAGGTCCGGGTTCGATTCCCGGCACTACAAGATTTTCTGAGAAGTGGTGGGTCTGGAACGGGGTCCATTCAGCCTCGTGAGGATAATTGAGGAGCTATTTGAAGGAAATAGCGGCATCGGTTTAGTAAACCGAAATTCGTTGTACTGACCACGCGACACCCTCTATTAGCTGAAGTTGGCACTAACTTCGCCGACAAGCGGCGGTCGATCGGTTGGTATAATTCGCTTACGGACTACTGACAACGGAGTTTCTTTTTCTGTTTTTAGCTTTGAATGATGAAGTAATGACTATGTAATGAACTTGAAAGAATACACAAGGACGTGGTGTTGCCTAGTTTGAGGTTATATCGAGTAATTTGCCAGGAGGGACTGAGGAAAGACAAAATATCTCAGGATTTCCAGTTACAAGTAAGATCTGAACACCGAATCTTTCAAGTGCAGCCCTCCCCCGCCTCCATCTTGTTGTTTGAGCCCACAGCCAAGCGGAACTCAGCAACAAAACAAAAGCCGATCTGTTTTTCTCATTCAATTAGCGACGCTAAAATCGATCGAACGATAGTTGATAATGCATGGAAGTAAACCGTGAGGGCCTAATTTGAAGGTACTATCCCATTAGTTGGAGGTACTGAGAAACATTTCCATCAGGATAGTTCTCTTTGCTGTTAGTTCATATGAAGGCGAGTATGCGTAGTGCAGCGTACGTAGCTTTACATCCCGACACCCTTACTCTGTAACCAGTGGAGGTTTGGGGGCCGAGAATGTGACAATGTGCTACCTCGTCAGCGCTATCGCGCATCTCGGGGTGGGAGGGGCCGGTGGTAGATGAATATGGACCAATGGTGGCCTTGAGATAACAGAGGAGAAAACTGAAGGAGCTCGGAGAAAACCCTTCTGGACTGGCACCATGAATCTCACAACATGGAGTTACCAGGGATTGAATTAGAGACTCCGTGATGTGAAGCCAGTTCCTAACTCTGAGCCATGTAACGGACCCGAACTACTATAATTTCAAGAAACTGTAACAACACGTTCCTGGAATTGCAAGTATATACCAGAAGTTTGAAGGAAGATCATTAAGAAGACACGCGAGAGTATACGAGTACATTCGATTTCTTACAAGTTCTCTCTCTCTCTCTTGTTGAAACTAAAGGCCTCATCATTTCTGTTACACGTTTGTTTACATATTCCCGACTATGTTTTTTGCATTTACATTTCATCTCTCTGCATATTAATGTTGACTTTCCGCAAGTCTGTCAGACTGCAGAGCCGAAACGAACTGAATCTCATGGAGATACCACAGAGGCAGAGAACCGTGTACAGTATGAACTCTTCCGAGAGGTAAGATAAAGTCAAAGCTTCTCCTCTGATATAATTAAACGCCACGCCATGAAGAATTATGGGGGAGGTGAGTGCTCAGCTTCATGCTCCTTCCGTTTTACCCGTCCAGAACCTTCACCCAAGTACCCATTGGATAGGAGACTGGATGGGCCCTAGATCGTGTCTGGACAGTGTTGAGGAGGAAACGATTCCCTTGCCCTTGCAGGGAATCGAACCAAGAATCTTCGGTCGTTACACGGACTGAGAGAGGGGGGAGAGGGAAATATGAAGGGGTTTAAAACTGTTCCTAGCGCTAGAACATGTCCACCCCATTTGACCCCTCTCATCTCGACTCGATTAGATTTCATTCCATTAGACTAGATTCGATTCCATTCTGCTCCGTTCGAATTCAGTAGACTTCACGCCATTCGACTATATTCGCTTTCATTCTGCTCCATTGGAATTCACTAGATTTCACTCCATTCGACTAGATTCGATTCCATTCGAATTCACTAGAGTTCATTCAATTCGACTAGATTTGATTTCATCGTGCTCCATTCGAATTCACTAGAGTTCATTCCATTCGACGTCGATCCATTCGACTAGATTCGAGTCTGTTCTGCTACATTCTAATTCAGTAACTTCATTACTTTCGACTGAATTCGATTCCAGTCTACACCATTCGAATTCACTAGACTTCACTTCATTCGACTGCATTCAATTCCATTCTGCTGCATTCGAATTTGCTAGACGTCACTCCATTCGAGTCGATTCGACTTGACTCCACTCGACTGATCTACCTGCAAAATTAAACGAATTGTCCGTGTTCTGTGTTGGCTGAAAAGAAGAATTTGCTTGTTGACTCTCAAATGTGACAGAGTCACATTTTTTCGTGACTGGATACAAAAATTAGGTCCGTATACAAATGAAGATATAATTTGTTGTACAGGAAGACAGAATGTTTGTATATGCAGTGTAAAAATTGTGTTGTTCTCCAATTTCAGGGTTCCCACACAGCTGGAAAACCTGGAAAAGTCAGATATTTAGTGAAGAGGTAAAAATTATACAAACATTCTACTTGTAGGAATTTATATTGTCACATGTTAAAGTAACAATATTAATTTACACAATTTTGACAGCATTGTTTGGTTATTAATAGGCTGGCGTTTGTTGCATCATTAGCCGTTAAATTCCATTACCAAATTTACTTCATAACTTTTTTGTGTTTGTCTGTTGAGATTGCAAGGAGACATGTGAAGCAGTTGGCATTGATCACGGTAGGACTGGTAGGACTTTTCTTTCTTATTTTCTCTGTATTTACTGAATTTTCGAAACATGACTTTCCCTGATATAGCAGACTTGCAATCAATATGGCGGTCTGTGTATATTGGATTTGAAATTATCAGTGAAGTTTTTGCTTGATAATGTCTAAGTCTCTAGGTATTTGTGTTGCGTGGGAACCTTGAACATATCTGATGACCAGAGCTGTACGTCTCAGAACAGGAAAACTGAATCAACTCTTCAAAAATATCTATATATCTATCTCTCTATGGCTCTACAGCGCTTTGTTGGACCTTCGTCGTTTTCCAGTTTCTAAATCCTATAGAGTCGGTAGGACTCCTTGGACGGGGGATCAGCCCGTCGCAAAGCCGCAGAATAACACAGAACATAGAATAAACACCTACAGACATCCATGCCTCCAGTGGGATTTGAACCCACGATCCCAGTGTTTGAGCGGGTGAAGACAGTTCCTGCCTTAGAACGCGCGGCCACTGCGATCGGCCCTTCGAGAACATAGTGGTAACTATATATACCGGCCGTTATAAAAATGAGAAAATTGTACATTGTACCCATATATTGCATATATTTTTATTCCCACAATAAACAGAAATAATTTCCCCAATTTGCATTAACGGATATGTCACTGTAATGTGGACACAGCGGGATTGGCGTGAGGCAGGAAGTTGTTGTTGTCCTTTTTCTTCACTCTGAGGATTCCAATCCTCAGGAGTATCCTGCTATGCCCTCACATATTATTCTGTCCATCTCCTTCTTTATCTTCTCACATCTCCTTTGTCTTCTTTTAGAATGTGATCTTTATCCGTTCTTTGGAGATATTCCTCCCATTTGTCGATAGGAATTCAGTTTGTAAATATTCAGATGAAATTTGTCCAGAGCAAGTTCTGAGTTCTTTCACAAATTCCACTTTTCACTTCAATGATTTACATGCATCCCTTCCCCAGTGTTATTATGAAAACTTCGCCCTAATGCATTAAAGAGCATCTTAAACTTCTTTCTTCTACTATACAACCAAAAAACAGTCAATTTCCCATCGTTTTATCGTGTTCACTTCCCAAAATTTTACCTTATCCCTCAATTTGTCTATACCAGAAAAAGGAGCAGACGTTGAAAGAGAACACTGAGATCCAGAAATTCTCCATCTTGTAAATACGACAATATGGCGTTTCTCACTAACTTCGTCGTTCATTTTCTCTCCTTTCTCTTTAGGCTCGAAAGGAACAAATGGTCTAAATGTAGCGCTCCAGAATAGTGTTCAGAAGATTCGAATATCTGCTAGGTCAGCGGCCATCCTGGCTGTCGTGGTTCTAACTTATCCAGCAACTCATGTAGGTCACTACCGCTCCCTTCGGCATCCTGTCAAATTCATCAGTGGTCCCAGCATCTGATGCTTTGCAGTCTCGATGCTGAAAGCATCATTAAATAACCCAGGAGCAAAGGTCAATATTCTGGGAAGTCACAGTATCGGCTATTCAAAGAAAAGAAGTGCATATGCATGTGTCCTATTCTGAACGGTTTCCAAGATACAGCTATTTTACTGTACATGAGTTCGGATTTGGTGCCCAATGTTGCCCTTCCCTCCCGCATGTGAAGCGTCAGTTGGCCGTTCTGACTGTTGATAGTGACACTGTAGGAGTGTTGCGAAAAATGCCGAATATGCTGATATGCTGTCCTAACACAAGTTGCAAAATGCATTGATATTGACGATAACTGTACTAACTTAGTCCCTGGAATAATTCAATATTAGAAACAGTATGTAACGTCTCTTTCTTACCAACAATTTTGGAACTGTAAAGTGAAATAGGTGTACCTCGGGAACCGTTCGGGATAGGACACATATACATATACACTATTTTTGTTTACAATGACCGATATTATGACCTCATGGAACACTCTGTATACACGTATATATACTGTAGTTGGCCTCAGTACTGCATGCTTATGTACCCATCACAAAGAGCATCAGTTGGTCACACTGAATGCATATGTCTTTGTACAAGTACAAGTGTATTTTGAGTTTGAATCTGAGTGCCGTCAATAATGATTGACATAAAACAATAAAACCATGCCATTATAATAAGAGTAGAGATAGCTCAGTCGGTATAGCCACGGGCAGGGCTTCGATTCTCAGCAGAGGCAAGGTTTTTTTCTCCATTTCACAGTGTCCAGACCGGTTCTGGAGCCCATGCAACCTCCTATCCAATGGGTATAGGGGGCTCTTTCCATAAGGGTATAGAGGCAGGGGCATGAAGCTGACCACTCACCTCCACCTAGTGTCGAGGTCAAGAATGGCGGAGCCATACCTCCGCTCCCCCATATCTTCATGGTGTGGTGCTTAATTAATTAAGCACCGGGAAAAATGTATCCTATATTTACTGAAAATTGACCACATTCATCTGAAGAAGGCTCTAAATCACCTACCAAAACGTCTCCTACACTAAATTTTGATACTCCTAGCATAACTGCTGTACACTGATTAAGCCATGACCTTATTTAAATAATCTGTGAACCTAGCAGCACAGAGAATGTATCTGCTGCGTGTGAGGGGAACAGGGGGGCTGGCTCTCTTGGCTGTCCAGTCCCATCAGCCATGTACCTGTATTTCTGTTTGCAGGAACTTTGACACAGATCATGGAGCCCTGTCATTGGTGCGTTTCAGTCCCATTCACAGACTTGGTGAGTATGCACAAAAAATACCAGTTTTCTTAATATGCATGAAAGAATACTAGAAGAGTGGCAGAACGGTAAGAGACATGGGAGAAAAGCGAGGCATTTTGTTTTGGTGTCAAAGAAGGAGTATCATTCTGTAATAAGGTTCCCAGGCCATGCCCGCTTGCCCTTCTGATAGGGTCAATGTGAAAGTGAAGACATTAGGATGGTTAGAAGCAGTGGCTTGAGACAGGGGCTGCAGGAATTTTATTGGTTTTCTGAATTAATCTTGAAATGCATGATTTAGAAAAATAATTTGATGGCCTTTAGAGCAGAGGGGCTTAATTTTTATTAATTCAGAGAGGGAGGGCTGCATAAGAAGTGTGCATCTGTTTGGAGACTGAGGAAAACCAAGAAACCCTGTGTCCCTGACAAGGGCAGGAACATTGCGCTTCAGTACTTTGTCAGGACTGGCTTTTGGGGGCCTGTCAAATGGGCCATGGAGCTATAGCAGCCAAAGCTTGATGCTGACCACCCATTTCCATCTAATTCTGAGGTTTAAAATGTCTTAGTGGCATGGGGCCCACTCAGAGACAGAAATGTATCCCTATACTTGAAGTCATCATGGGGGGATGGTGGAATGTGAAATGTGTAACCCAATTAAAATCAAAATAAATTACAGCCCTCTTGTAAATTAATTTTATGAGCAGACTTCAGTACATCACTGTTTTATGTCCACAGTAATACTGTAAGCATTGCCTGCCAGCACTAGACAACTCCAAAAAGTTGAGTAAAATGGACAGAATAATAAGAATATCATACTATGAAAGGGTGTAACACTGTGTTCAGTACTGCATACAGTCTTATGAATATTTGTGTGTGTGTGTTTTTTCCCCGTGTTGCTGTCCATATTTATATGTGTTTCTCAGTGTGTGACTGTTTATGTGTTCGTTTGTTTGTAGGTTTGGGTGTCTGTTGGTTTGTGGATGTGAATGTATCAATTTATGCCTGTGAGCCAGATCATCATGTTTGCATATGAGTCTGTGTATGGTGGTCTGCCTATCTTTTAATGGCTGTGTACATGTTGTTTGTGTGTCTGCCTGTGCATGCATACTTTCTCTGCATATGTGTCCCCCCCCCCAATGTGTCTCTGTTCTTATGTGTGGTAGCCTGTTCTTGTACAAGTGTTGTTGTGTACGTCTGTGTGTCTTTCTTTGTACATGTCAGTCTATGTGTCTGCCTGCATCTATGTGTGCCCTCTCTGTGTACACCTGTATGTGCCAACATTCACATGTTGTGTGTGTGTGTGTGTGTGTGTGTGTGAGTCTGTGCCTTTCTCTGTATGTCTGCGAGTCAAGACATGCAGTGATATATTCCAATATAAGAAAATGAAGTTTTATAATATTCACACAAACAGGATGGCCACCTATAGGAAAGGTAGTGAGGATGTTATTGGAATGACAGTAAGTACATTCACTTGTCTGCAGTAGGTTCTGGCAGGACGAGAGCAGTGAGCTTGAGAAGTGAGCGTGCAATGAGCCGTGGGTTCCCATCGCTGGAGCTTGATACTGTGGTAGAGGAACGCTCAGACCCAGATCCAGAGATGACAACGACAGAGGTTCTCATGACACCTGACAGCTAGCAGGACCCGACGCGAGTGTCTGTGGGAGTCCAAGTACATGTCCACGTGTCAGGGGCTGATCGGGCACCTCTTTGGACAACCCTCACCGCCTCCCCTGTCCACACCCCTAGCTGATCCCAGTGACTGGGGCTGTAGAAGGCTACAGTTCTGTTATCTGGCTCGAAGAACCAGTCTGCACCACTGGTTGGTTCTGCTGAGGTGAGGATCTGACGCGTTCTACAACTTATCAGAAAGCATGCTGCGGATCACAGTCTGAGGGAGGAGATGTGTGAAAAGTAACTTAATGACATTTCGCTGTATTCTATACATTTACATATAAATTGTATTATGTGTTGATCGGTTCAGGGGGCATGGAGTAGTGTAGTTGGTTATTGAATTTTTTCAATTGACCTAATCCTTCCAGCCTCACTGTGGCCCTGGGGTCAACTCGGCCTCTAAGAGATATGAGTACCAAGCATCTTCCTGAGGATAAAAAGAAGCTGGTGCATAAGGCTGACAACCTCACTGCCATCTGTGAACCAATTGCCTAGAAAATGTGAGAGCTTCAATGTCTTGCAGCACTATGGGCCTCCACGGACTGTTATATGTATAGCTTTACTTTTTGACAGTTCAATCACAACTTTATAACAAAATTTGACCAAACAATTTGTATTATGAAGAGTACTATTTTCTGGGGTGTGTCATCATGTAATCTGGACAGAATTTCACAAACGTTTTGGGGAAGCATCCTCCTTCCATCTCCATGGGTGAAGAGAAAACAAAGAGCGTGGTCAGGCTCACTGCCTACTTCTTGGTGGTTAAATATTGGTGAACTTCTACCAAACTACGTGATGTCACATCCCTGAAGATACAGTACTTTTCAGTCACCAATATAGTTAGTATGATTTCAGGGTACGTGTAGAGATAGATCTCCATGAGTTGTATCCAGTAAAGGTAAAGTTTTCCCTGTGTTTAACTAATTAAGCACTATACCATGAAGATGTATGGGGGAGTGGCTGTATAGATCTATATTTTCTTGAACTCAGCACCAGTTGGAAGTGAGTGGTCAGCTTCACGCCCCGGCTGCTTTACCTCTGATGAAAGAGCTCCCCAGTACCTACTGGACAGGTGGCTGGTTTGGCCCCAGAGTTAGTCTGGACGACACAGAGAAGAAAAATTTTTTAACCCTACTGTGACTCGAACTCTGACCTCTCAGACATCCAGCCCATAGTCAGTCACTATACCGACAGCACTAAAAAGTCAGAAGTAAAGGGTCAATCACTAAAACAGTGATAATCCCAGTGATTAATGCAAGTAATATTCACAGTCAACAATAAACATGTCCTACTTCCAAAAGCCTAAAATAAATATTCATCCAGTTTATGCTTGAGTACTGAAGGATCTACACCATTATGTGTACCTTACAAGTTGCAGACTGGCTGTCATCAGCACCTTAGGATCTTATTATATAAACAAAAGGTATCATTAGCAATCATGTTCCTTCCTCAGACTAAGAAAATGTGTTTTGCAACCATGCAAAACAGTTCATGTTTCATAAATTTCTAATGCTTCTGAACCAACGAGATAATACCAGATATTTAGGCATAACTATAAGGATTGCTTCTTTCCTCAATTTCCAAATGATTCTTGTTTCTTTGCCCTGCCCCCTTAGATAATCCGAAATCATCTTCAAATTACTTATTACAGTATGTGTAATTATGAAAGTTGCTGCAGATTTTGGTTTCGTGACATGCTCATACATTCAGTTTTCTCAGTACTTATCTCAAACAAAAATTTAATGTCTTGTCAAATAATGCCCCTAATTTTCTATATTTTACTTATGTCTTAACCTCAAAAATTGCAATCACCATATAAAAAGAACATTATGCAGTCAAACCTTTCCTTGATGTCTTTTCCATTCCTAATGGCACGCTCTAGAACAGGGGTTCAGAAACAGGGGGGGCTATATGAAGCATTGTGAAGGGATGCAAAAGGACATTATCTGACCCACTGTGAAACATAGCTTTAAAAAATATAAAAATAGTCTTACCTGATGAAAATGTCTTTGTGTCATCTGTATAATTTGCAAAAATGAATAATTTGTGATAAGAATTATTTCAAAGGGATATATGAACTTCCACTCTTGAGACCAGGGGTTCAATGATGCTGTTCTGGACAACACAAAAAAGTAACGGTACAAAATATCTGATGTAATAATATGTTATTTTTACTATATATTATTTAAAACATGTTTATACTTCTGTCTGAATAGCCTTAGCATGGTGATCCATGTATGGAAACCTCATATTGTGCTAAAATAATTTTAATGTTTCATGTTCCTTAGGAAACTAATTACTAAACTTCGAAAGCAGACATATGACAGTGGCCAGAGATGCTGAGAAGAAGCATCAGTGTAAGGATAATGACAAGATGGCAGCCATAACCTGTATCAGAGCTCACATTAAATGCCACTGCAAAACAGCATTTCTATAATGCAGAGCAGGAATATGGTGTTGTGTGTAAATTAATTATGTGAACACCGTTCCAGAAAAGCATTTTAAAGTTAGTGGGTGATGTGCTGGAAGGATAAATTGGTTGTTGAGCATATCAAGCACTTTGTTGTGTGAAGAGAAAGCATTACATTAATAACAGTAAGATATCACTGACAGGAACATTGAACAATTTGTGTATTGGCAGACGTGCTGTTTTAGATCCTGAGCAACTTTGAATTTTATAGTCTCAAAAAGAAATTTGCTGCAGTTTTTATAACATTAGTTTTACACCATAATAATCAGTTTGCTAAGATAATAAATATCTTGTTTACACTTTGTATCAAGCTGTGGATGGTTAACCCCTTACTGATTAAAATTCATCAAAATAATATTTAAAAATGCACTGCCTACCTCACATAAAACACATTGCAAAGACCAACTACTTAATGATCAGGATTGCTGGGTTTTTGGACTTTGTCCATCATCCAGTAGTCTGTAAAACACAAAAGAATACAGTGTTCTGGAAAACGGAGCACAAATATGAGGGTCGTACTGAAAGTCCTGAGCAACAATATTTTGTAAAGTAACATGCTTTAGTATTGACAAACCAAATACACCATCTCAATCTACAGACCTTTCTTTATTTTTCCACATAATCGCCACTTCTTTCTACACATTTATGGGAGTTTGAAAATTCCGCTTCTGTAAAATTCCGTTCCAGTCATCTGAAGACACTGATGCACTGCTTTCTGAATTGCCTCCCTTGTCTCAAAACGTTGTCCATGCAGCTGATCCTTCACAAATCCGAAAAGATAGTAGTCTGAGGGTGCCAGATCAGGGCTATAGGAGGGGTGTGGAAGAACTTCCCACCCCAACTTTGCAATTGCTTCCAATGTGGGGCGAGCGGTGTGGGGGCGAGCGTTGTCATGCAGGATGATGATGTTTGATCCTGGACGTTTATTGCACAATGCACAACAGAGCTTGTGCAATGTATGGACATAACAAGCAGCATTGATGGTTTGCCCAGGTTCCAGGAATTCGTCCAGAACAAACCCCTCTGCATCCCAGAAGACTGTGCCCATCACCTTCACAGAGGATGGCACTGTCTTTGCTATCTATTTTGATGGAGAATGCAAATGGTGCCATTCCATACTCTGCCGTTTCGTTTCAGGCTCAAAATGGTGGAACCAGGTTTCATCACCCATCACAATACAGGGCAAAAAATTGTCGCCTTTGTGTCAATATCTCTGCAGCAGTTCTGAGGTGATGGCTTTTCACTGACCTTTGTGGTCTTCAGTCAATAACCGCGGGACCCAACGAGCACAAACTTTCCTATAGCCCAAGCTTTCAATCATCTCCTGTACTGCACTTTGCCCTATTCCAAGTTTTCAGACTATTGTGCCCACAGTCACACACCTGTCATCTTGAATGATCTCATCCACTCTTTCCTTATTGCGTTCAGTTGAGGCTGTTCGAGGACGACCGCTCCGAGGCTCATCTTCGATGCTGGTGTTCCATCTTTAAAATGTTTCACCCATCTTCAAACACTGCTTGTACCCATGCACACACTTCCATAATCATGCTAAAGTCTCTAGTGAATTTCTGCAGAAGGGATTTCCTCTTTCACAAGAAATTCGATGACAGCACGCTGGCGAAACGACATATCGTTGTCGGCCATTTTGTTAGGAGTGATACTGGTCACGTGAAGCAAGCTATTGACGTCACAAGACACTCATGGTTAACACAGCAGCTGGTTCCACCTACCACCATACTCTCTTTCGTCTGCTGTTCCCAGGTTGCATGCAAAAAAAAAGTTGCTCATGACTTTCGGTACGACTTACGTATTTCTGTCCTCAGGTGAGAGGTGGAAAACACCTACTCTGTTGGGTCCGATCAGTAAATGTCTCTCACCCCTCACCTGAGGAAAGAAACAGATCCAGTTTCCAAAACTGATGATGAACAAAGTCCAAAAACCTAGTAATTGTCAATATTATATAGCATTAGAACCGTTGAGAATCTGCTTGCTTAATGCAATCGTTTGTTTACACTTTCTTTATTAAAACCGTCACAACAGAACTATATCAAGGTCAGTGCCAAGTTTGGCTCTGCTACATGTTTCAGCTATTAAAAGCCATCATCAGGCAAATACATGTCTAACATATATACACCACTGAACTGCAGTACTAGTACAATTGGATACAATAATATTAATTATATTAAAATACTTGGCATAAAAATAGAATAAATTAGACTATATAAAACAAAAGTTATAGTATAAAATGAGAATAAAATACTCCGAGTGATGCTTTACATCATCGAGTCAGTCAATGGTTTTTGTGAGTATACCTGTATATTAGACATGTATTTGCCTGATGATGGCTTTTAATAGCTGAAACATGTAGCAGAGCCAAACTAGGCACTGACCTTAATATAGTTGTGTTGTGATGGTTTTACTAAAGAAATTGTATATTATAACACAACAGGATGCATGAAATGAAAATCATTTATTTAATGGGAAAATTATATGAAATATAAATATACTGTGTGGGCTAAAACGGGTGGTATGTATATTTACCACTCTGCTTTAAAGAGTTAATTAATTCAGAGTATTATTATTTTAATAACACCAATATAAAGTATAGCAGAGTTGAATTAGCTTCAAAGCTATAGGAATTTTACAATGCTAAGATAATAATTTACTTGAACATCAATAATTTGGAAGAATTACAGTATCAGTCAAGTAGTAAATATGGCTAAATATGGCTTAAGTTGAGTTCTGAGAGTATGTAATTCTCATAAATCCGGAAACAGAATATTGGTAATCTTTGTCATTATTTGTTGTGTTGGGACTATTCTACATAGAGTCCTCCCACATAACTCCTGTTTGTTTCTTTGTAGAGTCCTTGATAAAAGTACAGTACAAGAGAAATATAATTTAGGTATTAACATGGTGGAGGGAACAAATGTCATTCGCAACCAAAATTTGTTCCTTGTCTAAATTAATGTAAAAAATAGATCATGTCATATCTGTGGGGTAATTTTTGGCCTTATGCTACAAGCAAAAGAAAGAACTGTGCATATGTGCCCTTCTGACTACAGTACACTACATTTACTGTGAAATTTATGTAACTATGGATAGCCAGTTAACTGCCTAGTTATCCAAACTGAGGCATCCACAGTTTCATACAGACTTCTGATATGTGCAGAACATCACAATTCATAGTGATTCATTATGCAGTTTTTTACAATAATAATTCTACTCTGCTTTTATGAAGTAACATTAGTCATTCATATATATATATATATATGAACATGTTACCTTAATGAGCTATAACCCAACAAAATGTTCAGACAATGTGGTCCCATTGACATACGTTAGGATGTTCAGAAGAGTGCATCAAAAGAAACAGATAGAGCCCATATCAGACAGCAACTGAAACATACAACTGCTTCACTCAGAGGGGTTCTACTTCACAAAATTTGATATATTGTAAACTACAAACATTTTCTTTGGCTCCAGGTGGCACGTGATAGCATAGTTGGTAGAGGCACTGTGCTACAAGCTGGAAGGTCACAGGATTGAGTCCCTATGGGGTGGATTTTTTCAATTGATCTAATCCTTCCAACTGCACTATGACCCTGGGTTTGACTCAGCCTTTAACAGAAATGAGTACCAGGAATCTTCTGAGGGGGGTAAAGGGCAGCCGGCGCATAAGGCTGATCTCACTGTCATCTGTGAGCCAAATGTCTGGAGAAAATGTGGAAGCCTCGACGTCTCACAACCCTATGGGCCTCAGTGGCCTGCTACATGGATAGCTTTACCTTTACCTTGTTTGGCTCCACAAATACAAGTAATTTTTAGCTTTCAGATGCATGTTTCACCAACAAGAAGTCAGATTGTACTGGCTGTTGAAAAGTGACTGTACACAGGGAATAGACCTTATTATCATCGTGTCTAATATTTGTGAATCTTACAAGGGTATATCACTTCAGTGGATTATACGTCTCATTTCACACCAAAACATGAAACATCGCAAAAAGACGTGTAAAATTTATTTTAGCAAATGATTTTAAAAATGTAAACAAACTTTGTAAGAAACTTTCTTTTGTATGGTTAATAATATAAAATGGCTTCCTTTCATGTAAACATGAAAAATTTCATGCATATAGAACTGGCTTCAACATGTCCTTATTTGTGTATATATTGCCATCACAAATTCAACTTACTGTCTTATTTATAAAATTTGTAAATATATTTTAATTAATAACAAACATCACGTGATATGAAATTTTAATGTACAGCCTTGGCAAGATAGACACTCACCTGATGATGGCCGTGTATGGCCGAAACACATGACAGAGAAGCAGATGGAAATATAGTATGCAAGTAAATACATTAATGAAACAGGATGCTTAAATAAAATATTATTCAACATGTCCACTTCATGGATAACCACAGACTCCCAAAACAGTGAGGCACTATCCCATCACTTGCCTGGAAGGACAGATAAAAACCATGGAAAACTTATAGCCGGTGCCCCACCTGAGTTTTGAACCAGGCACCTCCTGAATATGGGTCAAGAGTGTTACCAGTATACCAACCCACCGAGCATACAGGCCAGTGTGAATGCTAAGACCAAAATCGGCAACCTGATGGCCTAACTGGGTGGTGGTGGTGGTGATGATGATGATGATGATGATGTAAACATAAGGGTCCAGTACTTCACATTTTTACAGACTTTTAGAATTATAAAATGAACTTTGTCCCACCTGTCTGTGTAACATTTTTATAAACTTTGCAAGATCCAGAGTTTCTTTTACATTACACGTTCATCATGTTGCCAACATATCTACTGAGGGCAACAAAGTTTCATACCCATGATTTAATGTTTGAATCCACATTTGTGTGTTCAATTTTGGGTACTTTTTAACATGTTTCACCAATCATGTCAGAATCTCTTTCTGTCTTCAGTACCTTGCAGAAAAACATTAGTTATTATTAATGTAAAATTCAGACCAAACATGGACGGACAGACAGACATATAACTTTTTATTGAGAAGCACTTTATAACTTTGGTACAGTCCATGAATAAAAATAATGTATGAGCCCACAGAGCTTACCAATATGTAGTTGAAAGTATTGCAATTGCATTAAACGTTATTTTTAAACACACAACACATTGAATCCACATTCATTTAACACGTCAAACTGCATCCTGAGAATGTAAACCATGAATGTCTTCATACTATGAATCTGAAATCAAATGTTTGTCACATCAGCTGCTAAATTCAGGATTGTAGTTTCAAAACGCAGTAGTAACTATAGTAAAATCATTTACAAATAAGTTACAATTTAATATAGTGACTGAATTAATTCATGCATATTATTATTCAGTCATCCATGACACAGAGCAAGCAAGTAGGCACTGGAAAGTCTCGTGTTCAATTGTGGATGGCTTCAAGTGAAGAAATTCATAATGGAATTGTTAATGCAGCAGGTACTCTTCAGTTTTCCCTTGATAACAATCATTGTACCATTGATCCACAACTGTCAGCATAGCCTGAGCTGTGCAATACCCACTGTCATATCCTCAGTCCAGGGCCTCATTTCTGAC